AGTAGGGGTTAGTTTTATCTAAATTAAAGCATAAAAGATGTCATCTTGTGCAAATAACTAAAAAGAAAAAAGATCATATAACAAATTAATTGGATATTCAAATTTATAAGGTATTAGCTAATATTATTTCAATTTCAGTAATCAAAATTAAAATTCCAACAAACTCAAATAAAAAATATTATCTTAAATTGGCAATATTTTAATTTGTGGAGATAAATTTCAAGGATAAATTTGCTATGTGATTTTGGACTAGTTATAGATTATTATTTGGTTTGAATCATATAACATTTCTGGTAATTATAATGTATGGTCTTACTTAACTCCTAAGAAGAGATTTAAACATTCCACCATAGAATGTCTACGTTTTCCAATTCTTTATCAAAGCAACTCCTTTCTTTATCAATTATTTGTTAGACAAAAATAAATAAGCAAAAAAAAAAAAATAGAAAAGAATTTTGGCTTTGAGGCATGGAGAACACTTTTTTAAAGTCAATTATACCTTTAGGATACAACAAAGCCTCAAACTCTCCAATAAGAAGTAGTTAAAATAGTCATACTAAAAGATTTATTTATAATGAATGAACAGACATAAAATATTCAGATAGTTACGACCTTTTGTATAATCATGACCTTTATGAATAATAATCTATTCATATTCAAATAGTTATGACCATTTGTCATATGATATTTGTTTCTGTTCAAACATAATTATTTAAAATATGAAAAAAATTAATACAAAAATTAATTTTATTCATCAATAATTAAATCTTTCTATCCAATATGAAATGTACCATATTCTAAACTACCAACAATCCCCCACTAGTTTGGAATGTGGTGTTTAATTTTTACCTTTCACATAAATAAATATTATGAATACAAGAAGATATCTCTCGATTTAAACCTTCAATTAGCATATATATCTTACAATGCTAACAAAGCTGATAGTGTCCGCAGATTAAACCTTAACTTCTAGTGTTAGAATTGAAAATGTAATACACATAATATTTATTTATTCTTCTGTTAGAGGTTTATAACTGCTTTTAGCACTATTATGGTCATGTGCTTATCCTATTTATAAATATTTACAAAAGAAACCCCAATTCTTCTTGTTAAAGTGGCACCACTTCTATGTTTATATAGGTAGAGTTTCCATTATGTCTCAATTGCTTTAGACATTTAAAACTCCATTAAGAGTATAAAAACTCATCCTCCCCACGCAATAGATCACACTAGTTTCTAAAATTTGAATGGATTTTATTAATGTTTAATAGATACATAACAATAACTTGTTTTTATCTATTAAACTTTGTAATTAGAGGTTACTAATTCAAAGTTGGGTTCCTATTATTGGTGTCTAATAATAAGGGTTTAAATCCATTCTACTTGTAGTACTACTAACCAAATATCTTGGAATTTAATTTTTTTTTATGGTAATTACCCCAAATTGAGATTGAATCTTTAATATAATCACTTCAAGCTAATATGTCCAAATTTTTCATTTTGCATATCATTTATATGCTCCAAACATTATTACCTCATTCTTATCATTTTAAGAAATAGTTAGTTTTGGTTGTGGCCACAACTCTATATTCATAACTTTCAACCATTTTATCTCCATACTTTTATACATCCTTAATACAATTATAATTCTAGTACAATTCCTTTTAATATATTTTTTAAGGACCTTTTTATGACTTTAATTTAATAAGTGTTTAAACTTATTAGCTTGTACAATTTGCTCATAAAATTATACTAAAATCTTATAACACGGTGGTAATTTTTTTTATTTCTTTTGATTCTTATCACCCCCACCATATGCAAGTATGCATTCCTTTATTAAAGAATATCTCATTCAACTATCAAGATATCATATATATACTTAATCAATTTGCCATTTCATTTATCTTTTTACTATTTAGTGGTTTTTTTTTTTTTTTAAGTAGGAGGCCTCCAAATCCACCCTTAATGAAAGATAACTAGCCGATATCTTAATATTTCAATAAAAGTTTCAAAACTTTTATATTTTAACTCATTATAAGAGTTTACATCAATAAGCTGATTTTAAATATAATCATGCTTCTATAGTTTCTTTTTAAGACTTTTATGTCAATTCATCTTATATGAATCTATTTCATCATGGACAAAATTTTTTTATTACCATGAACAAAACCATTTCCATCAACCAAATGGATTAAATAGCATTCCTTTTGCTATTATAAAAGTTTTCAAAATTAAAAGATTTTTGAATCACTCATGGCTTCCAAAGTAAATATACTTCGAAATTTTCACTATATAAAACCATAGATGATAAATCATTTCTACAATCTATGAATTAGACCATATACATAACAAAAAATTACCACAATGTGATCAAGATTGTGGCATCAATTTTGGCTTATGGCTTTTCTAAGCCAACCATAATAATCTACCTCATACCTACAAATCATTTAGATTTGGCTATTAAAATTATCTCATTTATAATGATAACTTTTAATGAAAACCAACTATCTCAAATGTTATCATGAGTTTTCAATGCATATAGTAATGGTCCAATGGCCAATTCCAAGTTCATGATTATTGAAACCTCTAAACTTGACTTTAAACTTTTATGAGAACTTTATTTCTCCACCATTGTGCAACTTATATATCTCTGTTATTTACCACTTTTAATTGGTTATAACATTTTTTCGATATATAATGAATTCAAACTTTACTCATAGAACCAATATACCTATGTAAAATAAGAGTCCATAATATATTTAATTCCAATTTTAATTACTTTCACAATCATTTTGTGATTAATACGTTCATATCGAGATCACCACTCTCAACAATAGTAGGAATTTTGATAGAACTTGGAGGTGAGCCAATATTTAAAGATGCTGAATTCTTGGACTCCTCCACAGAACTTCCTTTGGGATTAGAGTTACCACTGCGATGTCTGTAATGCCTGGAACACGATGACGTTCCAGATACAGAGTCATTATCCTTCTCAACAGAAAATGCTTGAACAGGAGTGGTATTTTGATTACCAATTAAGACAAGTTGGTCCACAGCATGAACCACACCCTCTCTAACAAACATTTTGGAGAAGGTTCCAGGAAGCTTCTCCATAAGGATCTCAGCAATTTGGAGGGAAAGAACCAGGACATATGGATCTTTCCATGCTATAACACCAGCCAAGAAACTTGATATGTTTGTCCCACTCAACAGCTTCTGAAGCATCTTTGCACTGCTGAAGTACATCAGTTTTCCAATAACTGAAAGACATTTGTAGCGAACAGTGCTATTGACACTACAACTATAGTTATGTATGAGAACAGGAAAGAGATCCATTCCAAACTGCTGAAGAAGTTTGGGTTGATCATTCAACAATTTTCACTTGGGCTGAAACCTCAGTAGCGTTTCCATTGGTGTCTTCTTGCTTGCCAGAGCTACTAGCAGAAGACTTCTTCACAATAGATCCTTTCAAAAATATATTTAAGCTGGCAGGGAGGGAGATGGTTCCTTGTGGCAATGGAGGAAGAAGCTCATTTACTAGATTGTCAATCTAAAAAATCTTCTCTGCTGGTCTACTTAAAACTGGCGGAACAGATGAGTTAGAGGAAACGCCAGAACCTCATAGTATATCTTTAAGTATGCCACTGATCCCAAGCAAAAGTAAAGTTTTTTGTTTTTTAGAGGAGACCCGCTTGCACATGTTGAAAAAAGTCAAATTAAGCCCGTATATGTTGGTGTGCTCAGCGATCCCTGTCCACCTCCAGAATTACTTGTGGAAATGAGAGATGCAGCCTGAGTAACAAGTCCATGATTGCACAACTCATCTAATTTATCAGGGGAAGATGCAAAGGTTTCAGCAATGCGAGTCAAAAACATAAGTGTTTCTTTTGTAGAGAATCAATCCGTGAAGCCACATTAACTTAGAAATCTCTCCAGTAGCCACACTAGCAAGCAAATTCATTCCAGCATCATTCCTAACGGGTACGCATGCATTTGCTTCAGAGTACTTGACACAACTTTCAATTAAAGCATTAATGGAGCTGAAAGAAGCCTCCAGCAGTTTCCCTGATTTAAGTTCATTTCCAAAGATGGGGAAGCCATTTTTGTAACTTCAGTTGTTTTCCTGGCATCTTCTCCAGTTTTACAATTTTTATTTTATTTTATATGGAACAGCCGTGGGTGAACCATCTCCCTCATCAGACCCAATCAGCATATCTTTGAAGTTATTGTTCTGCCAAGATTCAGTATTCACATCAGCGATAATATTTGTCCAGGAAGTATCACTTTTCTCCTTCATGTTACAATCTAATTGTTCAGACTTCTCTGAAAGCATAGGAGAAGAAGCTCTGCTCTGACAGAATGATCTTCAAGAGATCCTCCACTGGCACTTTGTGCCGGACTTCTACCTCGATTTGGGATGTCAACAATGAACTTATGACTATTACCCTCAGCCATAAGAGCATCCATGGCCTTTTCACATGTTAAACCAGACTGATATTTTATGCAAAAGCAGACTTGCTTGCGGTCTCTCCTTGAGCAAGCTTAACCGAACCAGTTTTAGAAACAGAAAGTTAAGTTACTGAACTCTTCATGGCAACCTCAGATGACCCAGAGTGCTTGCTTTCACTGTGAGAAACTTCAGTAAAACAAGGTCTTGCAGACCAGGTAACAGCCTGATTTGAACCAGACTTAGCATCCATCTCAGCATCAACTCATTTTTTTTTATATATATCAACTAAACTCGCTTTCTTCTGTATTTTTATATTCTTGTGACTACGCAAATGATTCACAGACTTACCAATGTTACACATCTGTAGAGCTGTAAGATTTATAGGTAGCTTATCTAGTGCTCTTAGTAAGGTTAAAAGAAAATCGTCAACTGATCTATCACCCTTGGCCTCATAGGTTGTTCTGTTTCCATTACCGTGGATAATGCCTTACAAGGAGACGCTCCACCATATGGTTCATGACCTTCACTACCTTCTAAACTCTCCACGTGCTCACCTTTCTTTGGGGCAGTGACAGTTTCCCACATTATGACTGGCATGACTACGTGCATCAGTCTCAACATCCTTTTCATCTTTCACTGCATCAACATTTTCCAAAACCATATCTTTAGCAGAAGCATGCTTCAGCACCTTTGACACATTTAGCCTTTTCTAATATTAATCTCCAAATCATGCCAATTTCTTTTCTTTATATCTTCCTTAGGCAAAATTAAATTTTCTTATATAATTGCCTTTAAATTGTTAGACAAAAATACATAAGAGAAAAAAAATAATAGAAAAGAATTTTGGCTTTGAGATATAAAGAACATTTTCTTAAAGACAATTATACCTTTAGGATACAACAAAGCCTCAAACTCTCCAATCAAAAATAGTAAAAATGATCATACTGAAAGATTTGTTTATAATGAATAAATAGACATAAACTTATATTCAAATAGTTATGACCTTCTGTATAATCATTACCTTTATGAATAATAATTTATTTATATTCAAATAGTTATGACCATTTATCATATGATATTTATTTTTGTTCAAACATGATTATTTAAAATATGAATAAAATTAATACAAAAATTAATTTTATTCATAAATAATTAAATCTTTCTATTCAATGTGAAATGTACCATATTCTAAACTACCGACGTTATTCCTTTCGTCTATATCTGGTTATCTCCATATGTTTAGAGTCTCCATAAACTGAAGCCTTTATTTTCTACGATAAACAATCCTTATGAATTTGATTAATATGTAAATGTTACATATTATAATTATTTATCATTCAAAAACAAAAGAATAAATAAATAAATAACAAAAATAGTCAAGAATGATTCGGTTCTTTTTATTTGTTCAATATGAAATCATGGATTTGTATGCAAAATTATTATTGACCAATATTTTCCAGGCCTGAAAATTTTGCAACAATCATGTTCCATTTGGACGGCCTCTTGGACGTCAAAATGAATAGTTTCAATGTGATTCGATGAAAATCTTTATTATTATTCATTCAAATGAAGCATTATTTTATGATGGTTTAATTGGTACAGGTCAACTATTTTCTACATTTGGTCTTGTAAAATTATAGTAGGGCATTCAGTTACCCCTAAAGGTTTCCAAATTTCAAGTTTCAACCTATCAATTACCAGATAAGCAAGCAAATTAATCAGTGAATCTTCTATTTCTATAGTTTCTGGTTTCAGAAAAGCTCGTCAAAAAATGATTAATATAACAGGGCTTTAAAGTTTAAACTTCACCCCCCCCCCCCCACAAAAAAAAAAAAAAAACTTGGTCAAAAGTTTTAAGTGAGAGTTCTTAAGTATTCAATTTTAATAAAATGCTACTTGCTTTTTCTACTGTGTAGAGTTTAAGGTAGTGTGTAATTTGAACCTTTATTCTAAAATCTTGTTATTGTTCATAATTTTTGGATAAAAGTAATGATCGGTGAAAATTTATCCATTAATTTGTAAATAATATATATAATTCTTATAACTTTTATAACAAATTCAAATACAAATTTATTCTTTTAAATTTATTTTTCAAAACAATTAAAAATAATAAAAATGATTTAAAATATGCTAAAAAAAAAGAAATGAAAATGCATAAGCAAAAGGATAAAAATGAAAATAGCCAAATAGGGATAGCACATAAAGACCTCCACTTAAAGACGGCAAAGGCTCGAGTAAAGACTAGTTTATATTCGTTTTAACTTTGATCATATTATTATTTTTTATACTCGATGCCAACCTGATATATATATATATATATAATCTGTATTAGGTTTACCTTGACCAAGAATCAATTCAATAATATAACATTAATAATTATAATTTTTAATATAAATTATATCTTAATTATTAACATAAATTATTAATATAACAAATAAAAATAAAATAAAATAATATATATTCTTATATATATATACCTTGAGAGAGGTAGAATAAAGTATCTTAAACCTGGTTTCGACTCGATTTTGATCTTCAAAAAAAAAAAAAAATCATCCTACTTCGATCCGATTTTGATTTTAAAAATTGTCCCTATTATATTGATGGATTGAAACCAATCAAATATGTGTTATTTTGACATCTCAACCTCCAATGACTTCATTTTTTACAAAATTTATTTTATTAAAAAAAGAAAAAATAATAAAATAAAACAAAGGAAAGGAAAGGAAAGGGCTGAAAAAAAAAGAAAAAAAAAAACTAAATGGGATGCCACATGAACACTTCTACTGCCAATTTAGTTCTCCAAACATAGATAAAAAAAATAGATAATTAAAAACAAAAAAAAAAGCCAAAACTTAAAAAAACAACCCAAAAAAAAAAAAAAACAAATTAATAGGGGTGCCTAATGAATACATCCATTTAAGGATGACAACTTGTCATGACATGTTTTTATTCACCCTGACTTTGATTTATCTTTTTAATAATTCAATCCAACTAAAAGGATTTATAAAAAAAATTGTACCTTCCACCCAATTTAAATAAAACTTGAATACACATCTATGAGTCAAATACATTAACACACATAATTTTATTTCATTTCAATAAATTATAACATAGAATACCACATCCAAACCCGAATACATGGATTAAGTAAAGAGCATACAAATAAAATTATTATATTACCAAACACACCAAAATGAGCTACCATTTCAAATAATTACATACCAATAGTAGCCCAAAACACGTATAGCTTGTCACCAATTTGCTCCAATTTTTGATAATAAGCAAACCTCCAAGACCTGATGAAAAACAAGGGAGCCACTACTCCCCAAAACCCTATCACAAATCCAAGCACTATGCTTACATAAAGCCAATTCAACTTAGACCTTTTCTTTCCTCCACTGCTACCTCCATTTGTGACATCAGGTGTTTCACCATTTCTGCTACAAGTTTTAGTGACAGGAGGTCCGCAAAGATGATTGCCAATGTAAGAAAACTTGTCAAAGCTTTGGAGCTGGGTGCTTAATGGGATTTGTCCTGTCAAGTTGTTGTAGGACAAGTTGAAGTGATTTAAGAAATTCAAATTGGAGAAACTTGAAGGGATTTCACCATGGAATCGGTTCATGGACAAGTCAAGAGTTTCCAAAACCTCCATACTGTTGGGATTTGCCTTGAATCTCAAAATCTCACATTGAAAGTTAAGTGAGTTTGATTTTGTCTTGTATCCCACATCGAGAGTTTAGTAAAGGTATAAAGGGTTTTACCCTTATAAATAAGATGTTTTGGTTTTAGTTTGGTAATCCCAGAGAGTTAGACACCAAGAGAATAGCTAAGTGAGTAGGCTATTAAAGGGTGTAATTGGGTTTTGGGTTAAGTTTTGAGTAAGGAGTTTTAGGAGACTTTTCTCATTCTAAAAGTCTCACAATTGTAAAGATTTATTTGATAGTGGATTAGGTTTGGAGTAGCCATTTTGAGTTGGGCCTAACCAAATATATTTATGTGTTTTTATTCTTGATTTGAGCTTGTTATTTTGTGTGTGGTTGTTGCGCGTGGGTGTTGTTTTTCCCAACAAGTGGTATCAGAGCAAGGTTCGAGGTTCGACGTTTAAGGTTCGCGGGTTCAAGAGATCGTGAAGCAGTGTTTGAAGATGTCTGAAGAAGGTATGTCTGGTATGTCTATGCCTAAGTTTGAGATTCCGTTATTTGATGGAAAAAGTAATTTTATGTTATGGCAAAGTACGATTCAAGATCTATTAGTACAACAAGGGTTGGATCAGGCATTAGAGAGTAGTAAGCCTGAGGGAATGTCTGATGCTAATTGGAATAGGATTCAGAAAAGGCTGTTAGTACTATTAGATTGACGTTAGCTCCAGAAGTAAAGTACAGTGTGTTGACTGAGAGTACTCCGAAGAGTTTGTGGGATAAACTTGAAGGTATTTATGCTTCGAAGTCGTTGACTAATAGATTATGTTTGAAGATGGATCTGTATTCTTTCAAGATGAAAGAAGGTATGAGTCTTCATAATCACCTGAATGAGTTTAATAGATTGGTTTCTCAATTGCTAGCGATTTCTGTTGATGAGTTAAAAGATGAAGAAAAGGCTTTAATTTTGCTGGCATCTTTGCCCAAGTCTTATAGGCTTTTAGTTCAGACTGTGTTGGTAGGTAGGTCTACTTTAAAGTTGGATGATGTGACTGCTCTATTGCGTGAGAACGAAAGGTTTATGGGAGCTCAGAACTCATCACCTGGGGGAGTACACTAGCTGTAGAGGGTTTTGATCAAGGGAGGACTCAAAAGAGGATTGATGGATCGAGATGGAGATCCAAGTCAAGAGACAGAGATTACAGTGATGTAGAATGTTATTATTATGGTGAGAAGGGACATATCCAAGTGCGCTGCAGGAAGCTGAGAAGGGATATGGCTGTTTTCAAAAGGGCGAATAATGAGAAGAAATCAAATGAAGAAAAGAGTGATACTGCTGCTGTCGTGTCTGATGATGATGATGTTGTTTTGACAACTTGTGTGGATGAGACTCAGACTTTGAAAAGTGATAAAGGTTGGGTTTTAGATTCAGCTGCTACAGTTCATGTTTGCAATGATAGGAGCTGCTTTGTGGAGTTGAATGAGAATGAAAAGTATAGGGATATTGTGGTTGCTAACAAAGAAAAGGTACAGATTCAAGGCATTGGGAGTGTTCGCCTTAGATCTCATAATGGTGTTATTAGGACACTTCGTCATGTAAGGTATGTACCAAATTGTCACTACAATTTGATTACTTTGGGTGAGTTAGCTTCTCGGGGGTACACATTTTATGATAGTAATGATTGGTTGAAAGTGTATAAGAATGATAGTGTGATTCTACAAGGGAATAGGGTCAATCACTTGTACATGTTTGATGGAGGCTCAGTTGCTGGAATGCCTGTGATGAAAGAAAAGAAGAAAGGTAAGCATGTTAGCTTTACAGATACTGTTGAAGTGTTTGGAGATTCAAGTCAAGGGAGGATTTGTTGGGATTTACCTTGAATCTCAGAATCTCACATTGAAAGTTAAGTGAGTTTGATTTTGTCTTGTATCCCACATCGAGAGTTTAGTAAAGGTATAAAGGGTTTTACCCTTATAAATAAGATGTTTTGGTTTTAGTTTAGTAATCCCAGAGAGTTATGTCATAACGTCTAGATCCGGGGATCTATCGCTAGATATTGACTTTAGGGAGTCGCCACCAATCTTTTTTTATCTAGGTGCGATTGGCCACCTAAGGAATCTGCCCTTTTAGGGAACACCTAAGTTTAAGGGTCCCTAAAAGAATAGGTTCGGGTCTGCTAACCAGAACAGGGTTCGAGAGTTCGGTTACGTGTGAGGAAGGTTATAGCACCCTCACAACGCCCATCAAAAGATGGTACCAGCTTAAATTTGTGTTATCCAAAAGCCTTAAAATTTTACCGAGTAATTAATTATTGAAAATCATTCTCAATTGACTCTAATACTTTTAGCAGAAAATTGAGAAAATTCCCTCACCTCAAGAGTATGCAAGAAAAACTACTGTTTCACTTGCAGAGGCTCCGTCGTCGGATTATTTAAAGAAAAAAAATCAAAATCAAAATAAAAAGAAAGAAAAAAATGATTTTTTTTTTGTGTAGGGAAAATTGATACTTTCAACTTTTCCCCAGAAAATATTTTTTTGGAAATTTATTTTTAAGGAAAATTGATACTTTCAACTTTTCCCCAAAACATTTTTTTGGAAATTTATTTTTAAGGAAAATTGATACTTTCAACTTTTCCTCAAAACATTTTTTGGAAACTTATTTTCAAGGAAAATTGATACTTTCAACTTTTCCTCAAAAAAACCTTTTTTTGAAATTTTATTTTTCGAGGAAAATTGATACTTTCAACTTTTCCCTAAAAATATTTTTTTTTTGGAAATTTTGATTTTCAAGGAAAATTGGTACTTTCAACTTTTCCTCAAAAATCCTTTTTTGAAAATTTATTTTTAAGGAAAATTGATACTTTCAACTTTTCCCTAAAAATATTTTTTTTTTGGAAATTTTGATTTTCAAGGAAAATTGGTACTTTCAACTTTTCCTCAAAAATCCTTTTTTGAAAATTTATTTTTAAGGAAAATTGATACTTTCAACTTTTCCTCAAAAATATCTTTTTTGAAAATTTTGATTTTCTTATTTAAAAAAAATAGAATAATAAAAAAGTGAAAATAAATAAAGATAAAAAATAAAGGAAAGTAAAACCAAAATAAAGATAAAAAGAATATTAAATAAACCTAATCTAATAAATAAAAAAATAAAAAAACAAATAAATGAAAATAAAAAAAAATTCAAAAAAATTCAAAAAAAAACCCGGAGCGGCTCGGATCGCGGCTCGGCTCGGCTCGGCTCAAGGAAGAGAAAACGGCTCGGAGAAGCGGCTCGGGAAGAACGGCTCGGCTCGGCTCGGCTCGGCTCAGAAAGGGCTGGGCACGCGCAGGTCAGAATCGGGTCGACGCTCGGGTCGGGTCGGGTTCGGCAAAACGCGCGGATCCTCTGATTAACTTAAAGCCAAAACGACGTCGTTTTGGAAAGGTATAAAAGGCACCTTCCTCCGTTTTTCGGCAGAACACTCCTCCCCCTCTCTCTCTTCTTCCCTTTTTCTCTCCCTTCTCTCTAGAAAATGAAGAACACCGGTGCCGGATTCTGGAAAAATTCGCCGGAATCTGGAAATTTCGTCGGAAGTTCACCGGAAGTGGGCCGGAAGATCATCGGTTTCTGGGATTTTTCGTCGAAAACTGGGCTGGTCACCGGAAACTTCAAGGTTCGCCGGAATTGTTGCCGGAAAATTCAAATTTTTCGGAATTTTCGCCGGGGAAATTTCCAGAAAATTTTTTTCGCCAAAATTTTTTAAAAATTTTTTCTCACTCCCAGAACACTCCTAAACTTTTTCTTAGCTCTCTATACGCCCGTATTCTCTCAATCAGTAGCTTTTGCTTCTGTTTTCTGTGTGTTTTCTCTGTTCCAGGGGGGTCCCTTTTATAGGGATTGATCAGGAGTTCCTGATCAATCCCAATTCCTCCTTGGACGGGAATTCAGTCTTTGAATCCAACTGGACTCTTCTGATTGAATTCCCCTCCAGAGTGGGATTCTTCAACTTTGAATCTTAGCCATCCAGAATTAAAATCAAAATAAATAAAAAAAATACTAGATAATCAAAAGATATGATAGTATAAAAATAAAAAAATAATATCAGATAATTCAGAAAAAAAATCAGATAAAATTAACAGATAATAATAAAAAAAAATAACATAAGATAAACCCAAAAATATATTACAAAAAAAAAGATAATAATAATAATAAATATATAACTATATACATACAATACATATAAATCTAATCTAAATAAAAATAAATAAACAAAGATATACATAATAATAATAATAATAAAATACATAAAATACAAAAGAAGAAAAAGAAAAGAAAAAAAAATACAGGATTGAAATGGGCCTTACCCATTTGGGCCAGGCCCAATTGATCTGGGCCCGGACCCAATTGGGTGTCTACAAGTTAGACACCAAGAGAATAGCTAAGTGAGTAGGCTATTAAAGGGTGTAATTGGGTTTTGGGTTAAGTTTTGAGTAAGGAGTTTTAGGAGATTTTTCTCATTCTAAAAGTCTCACAATTGTAAAGATTTATTTGATAGTGGATTAGGTTTAGAGTAGGCCATTTTGAGTTGGGCCTAACCAAATATATTTGTGTTTTTATTCTTGATTTGAGCTTGTTATTTTGTGTGTGGTTGCTGCGCGTGGGTGTTGTTTTTCCCAACAAATACTGCCAATGTTCTCTGGTATTTTTCTTGTTAGAAAATTCCCCGACAAATTTAATGACCGCAGCCCCATAAGACTACCAAGTTCTTTGGGGATCTCTCCTGTGAGATTGTTAACTGAAAGGTCTATGATGGTAACAAGTCCTAGTGTGTTACTGTATGCATCTTCTCTTCCTTTCATCACCAATAATGCAGCCAAAGGAATCAAGTTAATACGGTCGAGTTCCCAGGCGAAGTTACCCACATATTGGTAGAGGGTTTTTGTGGCCATGGCACTTAGGTTACTAAAACATTTTGGAATAACTCCTGAAATGTTGTTATAACCAAGATCCAAAACTTGAAGAGAATTAAT